AATTCGCCCCCGGAATATTCGCCCCCAAGAAAACTCGCCCCCAAGTAAATTCGCCCCCGGACTATTCGCCTCCGTAAGATTCGCCCCAGAAAGATTCGCCCCGGAAAATTCGCCCCCAAGAAAACTCGCCCCCAAATAAATTCCCCCCGGATTATTCGCCTCCGTAAGATTCGCCCCAGAAAGATTCGCCCTGGAAAATTCGCCCCCGGCAAGTTCGCCCCCGACAAATTCGCTCCTAGAAGATTCGCCCCCGGCGATTCCGCTACCTTAGGATTCGCCCCATAAGATTTATTAATCCTCGGAGGTAACAGGGCCAGCAGTTCATAAAATGAATTTTGTTTATTTTTAATTCTTTTTGTAATAACTGTGTATACCTACATAAAGGGGGTAGAATAATAGCACTCAAATACCTGTTAACTAAAATATGAATAGGTAATTAAGATAAGGTTAAATAAATGTAAGGGTGATTTGCAAAGGATTTGACATCCAAAGGAAATAAATCCTGTATTCTCAATGACTTAATGACTTCTATTATTTCAGACATGACATATGGAAAATCCCCTTAACTCTTGTATTACAAAAGAAGGTAATATATAATCTAATTTAAATGACATTTTTGATTGACTGAGTTGTTAGCTTCTTAATTTCTTCCTAACAGAACGTTTGATGGCTCGTTTGGTCATTGGTGGTGTATTTGTTTTGAAACTTTTTATGTTCCTACTTGTTATATTTTGGCGCGAATACGAACTTTGATTTTTGGTTAACGATTCTACGGCCTTTTTTTAACTTTCGGATCAATACTTGGCTTGAACACGGATTTTGAGTTTGGTATAAACCCGTGTGAAAAAATAGTTTTTAGTATTGAAGAAGATCGGTTTCAAGTAGTGTCGGTAAGTTTTGTATTATATTTTTTAATTAGGTAGTTAGATTTACTTAAAAAAACGAATTTTGTGTACGATTTTCTAAGATTTTAAATATTACAATCCTAATAGAGTTTATTTTATTGTAAATCAAACACAACATTTCACCTTTCGTAAATACAAAAATCTGGAAATCAAACTGACAACAACAAAAAAAGAACTCTTATGGCATCAGTAATAAGAACGTGCCTGTATTGTCATTTTTTTTACATAATAGTAGGACACAAAGTATATACTAAATTCATTGTTTTTTTAAGGTCTAAATTTTTGGTAAATGGTCAACGTTCAACATTTTTTGATCTCAAGTGGATACTTTGGACATTTTAAAATTTTTATGGCATTTGCACATTTTTTACCAAAATTCTCAAATTTAAGGCTAATCCGACGGGCTGAATTTGAAACGAGTACAAGAGTACCCTAACAGACTATACTGCATTCATTATAAGAAGGTAGTAGATGGCGCTGTGTTTAAAGATAGACGTACACAAGATAAATATAAAACCGCACCAAATTTGAAAAATATGAATATAAATCAAAAGATTTCACATTTGGATCATTGAAATTGACATCTAATGTCAGTTCGACAGTTTAATTCGTAACCGAAACTACTAACATAACAAGATTGGTCTCGCACTTTATTTTTCGGCGTAATACAGACTCGTGGTTTAACCAATCACAGTGAAGGTCAAAGCTTCCCTATGATTTCTACCACTACCTTCTTAAAATGAATAGAGTATAGTTGCTACTTAACTAATAAATATATAAGTAAATTTTTTTTATATTTAAAAAAAATGGGACGTTTTGAGTTAAATTTTTTTAGATTATTTTAATTTTGATTTGATACTTCAGCAAACTTCATCAATGTTGGTGTTTTTCAACACAAATTTACATCAAATTTGGACCAATTTTCAAATGTAAGTCTAAAGAAAGAATCATCCTTTGTTTATACATTGATGCCAAACACATTTCAATACATCCATAAATGGCTGAGTATTTAGACTCCTTTGTAAACGCAATTTGTTGTAAAATGTATTGTAAACATACGGTTGACGTTGAACCGTTGAATCAGCCTTTTACAGGTGAGAGACTATTGAATATGAACAATTTCGAGTCTCGCCGTATTGAGTTCCAAATATCGTAATTTTTGCAAATATTTATTTAATTAATTTAAACCAACCTATTACTTCCGAGGGTTAATAAATGTTATGGGGCGAATGCTACGGGGGCGAATTTGTCGGGGCGAATATTCCGGGGGCGAATTTGTCGGGGCGAATATTCCGGGGGCGAATTTGTTGGGGGCGAATTTACTTGGGGCGAATATTCCGGGGGCGAATTTACTTGGGGGCGAATATTCCGGGGGCGAATTTACTTGGGGGCGAATTTTCGGGGGCGAATTTACCGGGGCGAGTCTTCCGGGGCGAATTTACCGCACACCCTTACTACACTACAACCGACAGCGTTGTAAAGCAGTAAGGATTGCCAAAGCAAACGCAGCGTACATTTTGCCATACCTTACTGCAGTGCAACCTGGTACTGCGTTGCACCGTAGTAAACAATGCCATTACGCCACCCG